TTGAGAGTGGGGGTAGTTTTACTACCATGTTTCTTCTCTGAATCATTTGATATTCATGCTTTGATTTCTCGGAGAATGCTGGGAATTAACTGTAGTTGCGTTTTTTGCTTTTTTAGGCTTTCAGTTCTGGCGGGTGCTGCATATTGTCCACCCTATTTTGCTGTTGATGTTGCTTATCATGCATGCCCATTAAGTCAGACATCTTTGAAAGTTACTATATTGTGTTTTGATTTCTTATCCTTTGCTTTGATAACATTATTGTTGCAGTGTTAAACAGATCTGATCTATGGTTTGATGAATTTTTATATTTTTTCCCGGTGATTGTAGCAAAGGATTTACTACTAGCAAATCAAATAATTAATGGAAGCCTTCCCTAAAACCAGGTAAAAATTTATGTTGCACTGAAGGTTGAAGTTTTGCTCAAAAAACTTTTACGCCGATTCAGTGTTGCAAAGTTTCTTAGTGTGGTTATCTGGTGGTGCAGGCCTTTTTCCATGTCTATTGTGATCTCTAGCTTTTGTTCCGCAGCACTTTGGGCCGCTGTTTTTCTTAATATATTTTAGGTAGTTTATATTGGCTTATTTTTTCTTCTCTTGATCCTAAGTCTTTCTTTTTCATTCATTTGTTGTGTTTACTCAACCTTCCCTCATCTGTTTTTTGCTTTTGCAGTTATATATGATAAATGCCTTTGCATGCTGCTGTCAATTTAATAACATTACTGCAGCCGGGCATGTGACAGATCCTTGGTGGAAAGAAGAAAAGAAGGAACAAGGAAAAATAATGATTGGAAGGCCTTCCCTGAAACCAGGTAAGAATTTATGTTGCATTGAAGGTTAAAGTTTTGCTCAATAAGACTTTTACGCTGATTTGGCATTGAGAAGTTTCTTATTGTGGTTATCTAGTGGTGCAGGCTTTTTTCCAGGTCCATTGTGATCTCCAGCTTTTGTTCTGGAGCACTTTGGACTGCACTCTTTCCAATTTAATTTGGGTAGTTTATACTGGCTTCTGTTTTCTTCTCTGTATCTTAAGTCTTTCTTTGGCTATATGGTGGTGCAGGCCTTTTTTCTTGTCCATTGTGATCTCCAGCTTTTGTTCCGGAGTACTACAGGCAGCAGTCTGTTCTAATATAATTTAGGTATTTGTACTGGCTTTTGTTTTTTCTGCTGATCTGAAGTTTTTCATTTTCATTCATTTGTTGTGTTTATTCAACCTTCCCTCTTATGTTTTCTGCTTTTTCAATTATATATGACAAACGCCTACGCATGCTGTAGTAAATTTAATAACATTGTTGAACCTTGATAGGTAGTAGATCCTTTTTCAACCAAAAAAAAAAAAAGAAAAAAAAAGAAAAAAAAAAGAAAAAAGAATGAAGAAAAAGAAAACGATGAAAAAAAGAATAAAAAGAACAAAAAGAGGAAAATATCAATTACTATCTGTCAGAATCCAAGGTTGTCCATGGTTATTTTGCCATAGCTTTCCACGGGTATTAATTATATCAATTACTGTCTTTTGACTTTTTATTTGTGGTTCTTTTAATTTTTTACTTTTTATATGATATTTTTCATTGACATACTCTTCTAAAGACATATTGCTTTAAGAATCCACCAATTATTTTTTATGTGAACTTAAGTGTTCAATAAGAAACTACTAGTTTTTCATTAANCATGGGTATTAATTATATCAATTACTGTCTTTTGACTTTTTATTTGTGGTTCTTTTAATTTTTTACTTTTTATATGATATTTTTCATTGACATACTCTTCTAAAGACATATTGCTTTAAGAATCTACCAATTATTATTTATGTGAACTTAAGTGTTCAATAAGAAACTACTAGTTTTTCATTAAATTTTTTGGTGTTTTAGATCATTATTTGTAATGTAATCATGGAGTCCAAGTTTTGATAAACACACTAAAAAATGCAGTTCCTAAAATGCCATAGAAACATTTACACATATGCTTCTTGTTCTCCATGTTCTTATGACAAGCTCAGGTGCTGGGAAGAATCTTCTTTAGATGTAGCATGAATTTTATATGTATATATGGTCTGTAAATCGGGGGCATGTTACCATTTATGAGATTGCATTTGGCTGACAGCTCATGTTAACATTCTCAGAAGTTTGATTGGATAGTTTTTTGATCAATTATTTTCTTCTCGCAGAAAAGGGCAATCACGATAAGAGTATAGAAATGGAAACATGATACTGTCTAACTAATATATAGACATGGTCAGAGTTAGAGAGCTGCGAATGAACTTCAAATATGCAAGTAGAAGAGGAGGTTGCAAATGCAGCATTGATGCTATTAAGGTATTCAATGCAGAGATAAGAATATAAAAGTGGTCTACACCCTGAGCTTGAGCAGGTTGTTGAATTCAATGTTCTGAAAACCGGACCGGACAATGACCCGTTCAAGAGTCCGGTTTCCGGTTTGACAGGTTGGATCGGTCGGTTGGACCGTAATTTGTAAAATTATACTTTAGTCCCTGAAGGTTTGAAATTTATCAAAAACACCCCTATAATACTCCCTTAAGGTTTGAAATCTATCTAAAACACCCCTGTCGCGCGAAGATTCAGGTGAGTGGTGGCGGTAGCGACGATCGACGGCCAATCGAAGCTGGAATCTTGGGGCTTTTGATGTGTATGTGCCGGCGACTCTGATGATGGTGCCAAGGAGTTCCATCGGCGCCGAAAATCGCCGGAATCAACAAAAGAAGTCTGACGGTCGCGTGAAGTTTAGGTGGACGGCGAGCGACGATGGCTGGACGACGGCCACTGAAAATGGCAGGGTTTTGTAGTGGAGATGTCATCAAGTCTAATGGCGGTGATTTCTCCCTCGATCGGTGTTGGAATCCAGTGGGATTCTACTGCAATTGGACCGCGATTCGGCACTATTCCGACGGTCTAACCGCGGTCCAATCCGGTTGAAATGCAATTAACGGGTTTTGAAGTATTCCGGACCGGAAATGCCGCCGGTCACTGGTCGAACCGGTCCGACCAGACGGTCTGGTCCGGTTTTCAAAACCTTGGTTGAATTGTCATCGTTGAAGAGAAGACCTAGGAAAGGGGAGAACAAGATTGAAGATGGTGAAATGGAATCGTACATGTTATCGGGCCAAATTTTATCCAATAATGATGATTACATGATGGCCACCGAAGTTGAAGTTGACGACCGAAGTTGAAGTTGACGACAAAACTGTCGCCTGCTAAGAGCTAAAAATAAATCTGTTGGCTTAACTTCCTCTTGGTGTAACTAAAGATGAGCTAGTTGTTCAGCCTTCGAAGAACCAGAAACAAATCTGTTGGGTGAACTTCCTCTAGGTGTAATTGGTGATTAGATAGTTGTTTTAGCATTTGAAGAATCAGAAGCAANGGGGCATGTTACCATTTATGAGATTGCATTTGGCTGACAGCTCATGTTAACATTCTCAGAAGTTTGATTGGATAGTTTTTTGATCAATTATTTTCTTCTCACAGAAAAGGGCAATCACGATAAGAGTATAGAAATGGAAACATGATACTGTCTAACTAATGTATAGACATGGTCAGAGTTAGAGAGCTGCGAATGAACTTCAAATATGCAAGTAGAAGAGGAGGTTGCAAATGCAGCATTGATGCTATTTAGGTATTCAAGGCAGAGATAAGAATATAAAAGTGGTATACACCCTGAGCTTGAGCAGGTTGTTGAATTCAATGTTCTGAAAACCGGACCGGACAATGACCCGTTCAAGAGTCCGGTTTCCGGTTTGACTGGTTGGATCGGTCGGTTGGACCGTAATTTGTAAAACTATTTTTAGTCCCTAAAGGTTTGAAATTCATCAAAAAGACCCCTATAATACTCCCTTAAGGTTTGAAATCTATCTAAAACAGCCCTGTCGCACGAAGATTCTGGTGAGTGGTGGCAGCGGCAGCGACGATCGATGGCCAATCGAAGCTGGAATCTTGGGGCTTTTGATGTGTAGGTGCCGGCGACTCTGATGGTGGTGCCAAAGAGTTCCATCGGCGCCGAAAATCGCCGGAATCAACAAAAGAAGTCTGACGGTCGCGTGAAGTTTAGGTGGACGGCGAGCGACGATGGCTGGACGACGGCCACTGAAAATGGTAGGGTTTTGTAGTAGAGATGTCGTCAAGTCTAATGGCAGGGATTTCTCCCTCGATCGGTGCTGGAATTCAGCAGGATTCAACTGCGATTGGACCGCGATTCGGCACTATTCCGGCGGTCTAACCGCGGTCCAATCCGGTTAAAATGCAATTAACGGGTTTTGAAGTATTCCGGACCGGAAATGCCACCGGTCACCGGTCGAACCGGTCCGACCGGACGGTCCGGTCCGGTTTTCAAAACCTTGTTTGAATTGTCATCGTTGAAGAGAAGACCTAGGAAAGGGGAGAACAAGATTGAAGATGGTGAAATGGAATCGTACATGTTATCAGGCCAAATTTTATCCAATAATGATGATTACATGATGGCCCCCGAAGTTGAAGTTGACGACCGAAGTTGAAGTTGACGACAAAACTGTCGCCTGCTAAGAGCTAAAAATAAATCTGTTGGGTGAACTTCCTCTAGGTGTAATTGGTGATTAGATAGTTGTTTTAGCATTTGAAGAATCAGAAGCAATTCTGTTGGCTTGAACTTCCTTTGGGTGTAATTGGAGATGAGCCAGCGTTTTCTTCATCTGGGCAGCATGAACAAGTTGAGGCAGGGAAGGATGAGGTCTACTGCCTTGAAGAAGCAATTGCTACACCAACTTCTGAGATTTTCAATGGGGCAGCACAAACAAATTGAGGCACGGAAGGATGAGGTCTTAATGGGACGTGGAGTTATGGCTTTCAGAATCCAATCTGTGGTTATTCTGCTTCAGGATGGCACTCCACAAGTATTATTCTAAGAAACTTGATTGCACTGTTGTTAGAATAATTATTTTCTTAAGTTGTTTTCCTCTTACGGGTCTGGGCAATCACTAAAGAAATGGAAACATGGCACTATCTAGTTAATGTGTAGGTCATTCGGCTGAATGACATCATATATTTGGTAAGATTTTGTCTAAAGCCCTGTTATCTATTCCTTCTTTTAAATGTTTATCTTGTTAATTTTTTGTTCTTGGCAGGAATGCTCAGCCATCAGAAAAAATGAAGGATGCATATGCGAAAGACCAGAAGATAATGATGTATGCAACTTCTCCTTTGTCTTCGTACATCGATTTACACATCTGCTTGCTGTTCTCCAAGTTCCAAGTTCTTATGACAAGCTTAGGTGCTGGGTCTTAAGGTATTTTTTCTTATTTTACTAAAAATAAAATTTACTTATTTTATTTATAATCTATTTTTAATCTCTACATAAATATAATATGATATGTTTTTGAAATGATTTATATTTAGAACTCTAAATGGCAGAAGCAAAGAATTCCCAAATTCCATAATAAAATTCATAACCCAATACTCCCACAGAATAAACCGATTTCATATAAAAAGAGTTTGTATGAAGAAACTTGTCATATCTCCTGTGATCGTGAGCTCTTACTGGCAATGATTAAAATAACTCTTTTGATCTAACTTAGTCTTAACGTTCGGTAAAAAATACTTACATTCAACATTTATATTTAATCAGTCAGCATGTTTTCGTAACTTAATGAATTATAATTGTTAACAAAAGCAGTTATATTTGTATCTGCACATGCCTACTGGTTTGTGAAACGAAATTTTGATGTACTCAAGCATTACAGCATTTGTCAAAAGAAAATTTGGAGTTAGAAGAAACCAACACCACTGTTCCCATTTAACAAATTTATCCCATCCACATCTTTCAGAATTTGTCAAAAGAAAATTTGGAGTGAGAAGAAACCAACACCACTGTTCCCATTTAACAAATTTATCCCATCCACATCTTTCATTTACATTTGAAAATCATCATGGTAGTTTTTGCCTTTTGAAATGACTGGAATAATTCTCCAAATTAGAAGTAATATTTTACTAATTAACTACTAAAATTATTTTTCTTTGTAAACAAGGGAAACAACTTTTTGCAAGCCAAAATTAGTTGCCCTGTTTCCATGGAGCATTGGCTTTAAAAGGCACTTGTTTTTATTACACATTTTTTAAATTAATTCGACGGCAATTAAAGTAATCTTTTACTCTGTTTCCATGGAATAATACAAGATCTCATCACTATTACCCTGTTTCCATTCCTTAATCTTCTAAATAAACAAACATATAAAAAAAATTCATCAAGATTTGCAATGAAACACCTGGTTAGTTTCTTCTTTTGTACCTTTGCAAGTGAAACAGCGGTGAAGATTGCTATGCTTGGATCATCGTTGGGAAAGAATACTTGAACAAGGATCTACCAAAGGACAATTGTACACTTGCCATTCAAACAGGGTTCGCTCAAATGAAGACAGACAAATTGGATGAGAAGAATCCGATTGAGAGAACATGATGGAAACATCTCCTAAAACTCACCCCTATAGCTAACAATAACAGCCAACAGCCAGTGATGCTCAGAACAACAAACAACCAGCAACAAAAATACCCAGGTAGTGATATACATATGTATTGATAATCAGCAAAAGAGATACAAAGATGAAAAATAGCCAAAACACAACCCAACAACAGCCAAAAGAAACAAATAAAACCAGAAAAGAGAAATAGAAATAATGTTGAGGGCCAATTCCTCCCTGATAAAGCTGAACTTCGAGGGTCAGCACCTCCAATTCTCAAAAATCCAAAATGATCTCCCTATCCCTCTCTCACGTCNAACAAAAGCATTTAGGTTTGTATCTGCACATACCTACTGGTTTTGTGAAACGAAATTTTGATGTACTCAATTACAGAATTTGTCAAAAGAAAATTTGGAGTGAGAAGAAACCAACACCACTGTTCCCATTTAACAAATTTATCCCATCCACATCTTTCAGAATTTGTCAAAAGAAAATTTGGAGTGAGAAGAAACCAACACCACTGTTCCCATTTAACAAATTTATCCCATCCACATCTTTCATTTACATTTGAAAATCATCATGGTAGTTTTTGCCTTTTGAAATGACTGGAATAATTCTCCAAATTAGAAGTAATATTTTACTAATTAACTACTAAAATTATTTTTCTTTGTAAACAAGGGAAACAACTTTTTGCAAGCCAAAATTAGGTGCCCTGTTTCCATGGAGCATTGGCTTTAAAAGGCACTTGTTTTTATTACTAATTTTTTAAATTAATTCGACGGCAATTAAAGTAATCTTTTACTCTGTTTCCATGGAATAATACAAGATCTCATCACTATTACCCTGTTTCCATAGATAAGCTACAAATAAACAATGCAGTCCTTAATCTTCTAAATAAACAAACATATAAAAAAAATTCATCAAGATTTGCAATGAAACACCTGGTTAGTTTCTTCTTTTGTACCTTTGCAAGTGAAACAGCGGTGAAGAAGCATTTTGATTGCTATGCTTGGATCATCGTTGGGAAAGAATACTTGAACAAGGATCTACCAAGGACAATTGTACGTGAACTTGCCATTCACCTCTATAGCTAACAATAACAGCCAACAGCCAGTGAAACTCAGAACAACAAACAACCAGCAACAAAAATACCCAGGTAATGATATATATATGTATTGATAATCAGCAAAAGAGATACAAAGGTGAAAAATAGCCAAAACACAACCCAACAACAGCCAAAAGAAACAAATAAAACCAGAAAAGAGAAAAAAAATGTTTACAAAACCTGTCACATTAACAGGACGCGGAGATATGCCTTTCAAAATCCAAGGCTATCTCTGGTTATTCTGCTTCTGGATGGCACTCCACAGGTATTTAATTATTTCATTTTCAGTCATTGACTTTGTATTTATGTTTCTTGTTTTTTGCTGTTTATTTGACAGTTCTATTTCTTGTACGCTCCATGCGAGGACCAAAAGATAATGATGTATGCAACTTCTACTAGATGCTTTAATTTAGTTCAATTTTGACTTTTGTATCTCTGGAACCTTCCTGGCTTGGGATGATAATCATAAGTTGTACTATTGTTTGTGTTTTTCAAGTTTTGCATGATGTATTGCTCACCTCCTGTCTTCGTATATTTGCAGCAGGGCAGACTATGTAAAGTACTGATCGTCAGAGGAAAAAGATGAAGCCGCCGGGTTTAAGATTATACTGCTCTTTCTTCTCATCAGATTTTTAAGGAATAACTTATGTTCGGAAATTACATTCCAATTTCATTGGAGATGGGGAGACTGCAACCACTATTGTTCTGGATCAGACGGGCCCAAGCTAGGAGAAAGATGGCGAATCAAAGCTAAACTCCAGATTGCACAGGGCCAAATAAAAAATGCCATAGAAATATTTACACATCTGCTTGCTGTTCTCAAAGTTATTATGACAAGCTCAGAAGAATTGTCATTAGGTATATTATGAATTTTATATGTATATATGGTCTGTAATTCGGGGGCATGTTACCATATATGAGATTGCATTTAGCTGACAGCTCACGTCACTATCCTCAGAAGTTTAATTGGACAATTGTTTGATTAATTATTTTCTTCATTTGTTTTCTTCTCACAGAAAAGGGCAATCACGATAGGAGTATAGAAATGGAAACATGGGACTATCTAATGAATGTATAGACCTGGTCTGAGTAAGTGAAAGCTGCGAATGAACTCTAAATATGCGACTAGAAGAGAAGGTTGTGAATGCAGCGGTTGTTACTATTAAGGTTTTCAAGGCAGAGATAGAATATAAAAATGGTGTAAACCCTGAGCTTGTGCAGTTTGTTGAATTGTCATCATTGAAGAGAAGACCTAGGAAAGGGGAGAACGAGATTGAAGATGGTGAAATGGAATCGCACATGTTATCAGGCCAAATTTTATTCACTGATGATGATTACATGATGGCCACTGAAGTTGAAGTTGACGACAAGATGGTGGCCTGCTAAGGCCAGAAATAAATCTGTTGGCTTAGCTTCCTCTTGGTGAAACTAAAGATAAGCTTGTTGTTCAGCTTTTAAAGAACCAGAAGCAAAGCTGTTGGGTGAACTTCCTCTGGGTTTAATTGGCGATTAGTTAGTTGTTTTAGCATTTGAAGAACCAGAAGCAATTATGTTGGCTTGAACTTCCTTTGGGTGTAATTGGAGATGAGCCAATGCTTTCTTATTTGGGCAGCATGAACAACTTGAGGCAGGGAACGATGAGGTCTTATGCCTTGAAGAAGAAATTGATTTTCATTGGGGCAGCACGAACAAATTGAGGCAGGGAAGGATGAGGTCTTAATGGGACGTGGAGTTATGGCTTTCAAAATCCAAGGCTATCTATCGTTATTCTGCTTCTGGATGGCACTCCACAAGTGTTATTCTGAGAAACTCGATTGCACTGTTTTAGATTAATTATTTTCTGAAGTTGTTTTCCTCTTACGGGTCTGGGCAATCACTAAAGAAATGGAAACATGACACTATCTAGCTAATTTGGACAAGTTCTAAGGAGGAGAAGGCTGTGAATGAAGTCCGAATATGCCTGTGGAAGAGAAGGCTGCGAATGGAGAGGTTAATGCTTTTCAAGGATTGAAGAAAGAGAGAAGAGAAACAATGTTTACACCCTGAGCTGGAGCATGCTTTTATGTTCTTGACAGGAATGCTTAACCATCAGAAAAAAAATGAAGGATGCATATGCGAAAGACCAAAAGATAATGATGTATGCAACTTCTTCTCTGTATTCGTACATCCATTTACACATCTGCTTGCTGTTCTCGAAGTTTCAAGTTCTTATGACAAACGTAGGTGCTGGGAAGAATCAGTCTTAAGGTATTTTTTCTTATTTTACTAAAAAAAAAATTACTTTATTTTTTATTTTTTATAATCTATTGTTAATCTCTGCATAAATATAATATGGATATTTTTTGAAATAATTTATATTTGAAACTTTGAATGACAGAAGCAAGAACAATAATGCTATGCTTACTCATGAGTTTATTATCCTATTCACTACTTTTGTTATATATAGTACCCATACTATTCGTATGGTACTCGTACTATGTGTTATATTTACAAATGATAGTAAGATCGTTAGTAAGATACGTGAGTAAGCATGATACTTATGTAAGACTTGATGTGGCCACATACCACAATTATGCAATTCAAGGTGGTTTAAAAGAGTTATTAACTGCCTCATTTGATCCTTGATGGGAGGTTAAAAGGCAGTTGATGGGAGTTACTTGGTCCCTAGCCTAGCCATATATAAAGATATATTTTCTCCATCAAAGATATATCACGAAAATACAAAAGAAAGAAAAAAAAGATTTGGAGGCATAGGCTAGAAGACATCTCTCAAATATTCACTCACAAATCATTCAATACACTTGAACAATATGGCTGGAGATAAGTGATTAAATTTCGCATTATATTACATACGTGGTATTCTACAACCCGTATTATGCGTTATATTTACAAAGGATAGTAAGATGGTTAATAAGATACGTGAGTAAGCATAGTATTACTTGAAGCAAGAATTCCCAAATTCCATAATAAATTCGTAACCCAATACTCCCTTAGCATAAACCGATTACGTATAAAAAGAGTTTGTATGAAGAAACTTGTCATATCTCCTGTGATCAATATGAGCTGTTACTGGCTCAATGATTAAAATAGCTCTTTTGATCTAACTTTGTCTTAAAGAAATATTCTTCTGGTAACACCAGCGTTGGGTAAAAGAGATTTACATTCAACATTTATATATAATCAGTCTAATTTCGATCATTTTCCCTTCTCTTTTGTCACCTCCTCTTCTCTTTCTTCTTAAGCATCTTCATATCTTCTTCTTCGTCTTATTTTTTTCTCTCTTTCTCTCCATTCTCTTCTCTCTTCTTCTGCATCTTCAGATCTTCTCCTTCATCTTTTTTTTTTCTTTCACTTTTTAAGCTCAAATCGAATCGAAGATGAATAAAGGTGGAAGAGAAGATTAATGAAGTTGGATTAAAAGCCAAAGAAACAAATCAAGATTAAAGAAACAAAGGCTGAAGCAAAAAAGCTAGGGATTTTGCCTTTTAAAACAATCACATTTGTTGGACCAAATTTCCATCTGATCCGGTTGGACCGACGGTCTAATACTATTTTGCCGGTCCAAAAGCAGTCAGAAACAGTTTAAATCAAAATATCGAGTTTCAATTCGTAATGAACCGAAATTATTGACGAAACTTGATTGGACTGGCCAATTCGGTTCGGGTTCATAACATTGTACTTTAGCACTAGAGTGCAGCCAATCAAGCTCTAGAGTGGTTTTCCTTAGCTTTTAAAGTAAAGGGGATAAAAATGAAAAGAAATTAGATGATGGACTTAATTACTAAACCAATTAAGAGATTAGATTTCAATTTGATCCCTTTAAAAAGAGATTTTTATTAATTGTTTCTGTAAATAAAACAAATTGGAACTCAAAACATTTATGCATTTACATTAGTCAAGATATGTTATCAGACTTATGCATATAATGGAATAACTCTCCAAATTAATTAGAAGTAACATTTTACTAATTAGCTACTAAATTATTTTTCTTTGTAAACAAGGGAAACAACTTTTGGCTTTAAGGCACTTGTTTTTATTAATATGCTTAAAGATGGACATTGAAAACTAAATGATATGTTATCTACTTCTAATATTATCAATAATCACTCCTTTCTTTAAATCAATTCGACGGCAATTAAAGGAATCTTTTACCCTGTTTCCATGGAATAATACAAGATCTCATCACTATTACCCTGTTTCCATTAATAAGCTACAAATAAACAATGAAGCCCTTAATCTTCTAAATAAACAAACATATAAAAAAAAAGTTCATCAAGATTTGCATGTGAAACACCTGGTTAGTTTCTTCTTTTTGTACTTTTGCAAGTGAAACAGCGGTCAAGAAGTATTTTTTGATTGCGATGCTTGGATCATCGTTGGGAAAGAATACTGGAACAAAGATCTACCAAGGACAATTATACATGAACTTGTTCAACAGGGTTCACTCAAATGAAGACAGGCAAATTGGATAAGAAGAATCTGATCATGACTCTGAGAGAACAGTTGTAGGACAAGTGTTACATTATTGAGCTCAGTCAGGTATGATCAACTTCAGCTTTATTCCAGTTTCGATGTAACTTCAAAATTAAGTCAACTGCAAGAAACCAGAAAAGTGAAGGAATTAGATAGCGTTTGGAATCAAAGAAAACAATCACACAAACAAGTAGCGAACTAATAAAAAGAAAAAGCACAAGCCCAAATCCGCAATACGTCAATCAATATTATTGCAATATTTTATCACCCCTCGTCACAGTGATTGTATTTGCTAATAGATTGCTATATCAATCATATAAGATAATAATGTGTTTACCCCCGTGCGTCACCCCTTATAGGTGAAACCCTTATTGTTGAAGTGGTTGTTAACTCCAACAAAAAGGTCTCGTTTCAGAGAACCATTCTCGCAAAACTTGATTATGCAACTTGTCGAGGTGGGCATTGCTTGCACTGATAATTGATCTCCTTCTGCTTCTCCAAGTCTGTGGCATAGTCCGTCATTTGTAACTCTCTCCAAAAATTTTGCATTCCTAACCATAGTGGTTCAGAAACAAATCATAAAAATATATAATAAATTAAAAAATTCTGATTTTTTGGTTCTGCCCTCTGAGGATGTAATAAATAAATAAACAATTTGAAACACAGAAAGATCAAGCTCGTGAAACTTATGACATGTATGAATTTCTGGAAAGAGTTGGGCAATCATTTTGAGGGAGATGCAGAACCTTGTATGAATTTCAGAGAAAGATCAGGCTCGTGAAACCTTGTGGTCCTTGTGAAGGTTTTTCTAAAAAGACTAATCTCATTATGCCACAAATGTATGAATTTCTCACGATCAATGATACTTTCTGATACCTTTGCTTTAATCAATCACCAAACTGAAATTTACACAGAAGTCATAGTGAATTGGAGTTAACTGGATCTTTGCTCACCATTGAATCTTTTGGTCCAGTGGAATCTGTTGTGTTGTATTCCATTACAGTTGAAGTAAGATTTCCTGAAATGAAAACAGGGGATTGAAAGAGTTGTGGACAATTAAATGTACAAGCTAATATAAGACGGGATGAACCAATCTTTGATACCTCATCTTCAAATAAATTTTGCATGCTGTAGTTTCCTATTGCCCACTTCTCACATACCATACAAAATGAAGTGAAATGAAACAATAGAGAAGTGCTATTAGTTTATTTCCTTGTGTAATATGTAAAATACATTTGATTTGCTCATGTTAGTGTATTAATGGTTGCTTAATTTTCTGTCTTGGGATTTTTCTTTCAATAGAAGTTTATTGGTGGCTACTTAATTGTTTTATGTTATGAGTTTTGCCTATTTCATTTTCTTTTGTTGGTTTTAAAGATATTTTTGTTTCTAAATCGGATTGTACATTGTTAAAATCAAGAGGTGTCATTTTCTCAGGCAGTAAATGCCCATTTCTAATGGTAATATTATGAGACTTTTGAACCACAAAATTATGCAAACTTGTATGAAGAAACTTTGTCATATCTCTGAGATCATGAGCTGTTACTCACTCAAATGATTAAAATACATCTTCTAATCTAAATTTTGTCTTTAAAAAAAAAAAAAAAAAAAAAATATTCTTCTGCAATAAAAGGTCTGACCGAAAGGCATTATAGAATACTATCCTTTGCACTAAATGTAATGGATTCATGGGGAGATCAGCAATTTCATGCACAGAAACCAAAACTTCAAGCCCAGAAAGTTTGTATGAAATTCAGATTGGGGATTTATCCCATAATTAGAGAATAAATGAATAAGATATTTCCCACATCCATGCTCTGATCATCTGGAAAGTTAATTTACTACTGCAAAAATTTAGAGGCATCTACCTCACACATTGCCTTATAAAATAGTCGATTTGCACATTCCACTTGACCTATAACACCTGGAAAAAACCAAATCATGACAACTGAAATCAGAAAATTAAAAAACATGCGGTAAAGGAAGTTAAGATTGATCCTTACAATATAATGATAGGCAACGAGAAATATTTTCGGATCGAGTAGATCTCACTTTTCTTCATCAATGTCTTCTTGCTTGTGAATTGACATTTCGTCACCCAGCCAGTGAATTTGTGACACATTTGAAATTTGAAATTTGCTCTGATGTAAAAATCTGAGATAAGTTAATAATACTTCCCGGTGAAGGTTGAGGACTGATTACCAACGATCAAACTTAGGAATGAAAATTGCAATATGGAAAAGTAAAATTGACTGACTGATACACTTGTTTCTGAGATAAATAGAGCTCATTCATCCTCCTCTGGTCATAGATGAATCGGGAATCTACTTCGACCAAAGGCATGTTTGCTATCTTAGACCATTCTCGTCTTTATCTCTCTTGCCTTGTTTTTCAGCAAAGGACAATCTCGAATTTGTAATTGCACAAGTGAAGTGGCAGGCCATCCTCTGGAAAAGATGTAAGCTTTGGGCAACTATAATACGCAACGTTTTAAGAGAGGTTAGGTCACGAAAACCTTGGAAGATAAGTATTTCAATTTAGGAATTCTGAAATGTGCGATCAGTTAGAGACGTGGGCAACGTCATTCCTTCATCTCTGGAAAAGACATGCGATCTGGACATTCTGTATCCAAAGGTTTGCAAGGCAGGTGAACTTGTGCAATCCCACCCCCTAGAGGCTTATAGATTTCGTGTTACCACCAATTCCCAGAATTCTTAGGCTGGTAGGGAAACCTTCTTTGGAAACGATTTGATACTTGACAACCAATTGATATCCTGGAGACAGCTGAGATTGTGTATACCGTCGGGCAGGGCTTTAAGCGCCTCACAGTCAATCAAAAACAAATAAACTGGTATGGGAAGCCTCCTTCGGGAAGGAAACAAGGTTGAAGACGCTACGTTTTGATAAAGACGGTTAAGATTGCACAGGCCCTCTGGTAACGAATGAGAGTTCACATTCAGAGATAATTGCTCGAATAGACAGTTTACTGTCGAACCTTCTGCTATCGACTAGCTTTGAGCAATTCGAATTAAGCTGTGTGAGTGCCATGGGTAATGGCCTCTTGGTGATATGCATGTTAGAGATGGACATTGTTCGATACACAAGTCCTCAAGAAGAGATGTAGAGGCACTACAGTTATCTTCTGCATCACCAACAAAAACTGCAATTTCTCACAACTTTTATTGAAGCTGTTTTAGAGATGGAGTAGTGACCTTTGACAAGATGCAAGTGAATGACAACCTTCAATTTGCAGCCTTTCAAGAGAAGCATTTTCATGCTTCATTCCCTCAGGTAAGGATGTTAACGCAAGCAATTTGTAATCTCAAGTTCACTTAGACTCGGCAAAAAAACGTCCTCTAGAAAAGAAACAAGAGTGGGCTATCCTGATACATAGTGTTTTGAGGGAGCTGCGCTATGCAACCCTTGTGAAGGTTCTCAAGAGAAGTCTCAGTCTGCACACAAATACATGAGTTTCTCGCAATCAGTGATACTTAGCGTTCAACTTTCTGGGACCCTTGCTTAACCAATTACCAAACTCTGAAACTTGTCCTGAAGTCATAGGGTTCTGTGGATTGACATCAACTGGATTACTGCTCACAATCTCTTTGCTGCCATCTATGTCTAAGTTGCTCTGCACTGGAGACTGGGCACAAAACCACCAATTGCGGGCATTCACGAATTACTAGTTCTTTCAATGAAGGAAGATTGCTAGGTAATTTCCAATGAGATTGGGGCATTCAGAATGAAAGGTTGCTGAGGTGAGGCAAAATTCCATCATGATCACTTTCATCGATAGGCACCCAATGCTTCCATTCTGGCAAATCTTCAAAACAAAGAGTCTCTAGTGACTGAAAGGCTTTGAGGAGCTCTCTCCATAAATTTCAGAACCGATACTTCTTATTTTCTGTCATCCCTTGATGGTGAGATCTTTAAGTGAGCTTAATTTTTCAAGAGAAGGTAGAGAAGTACATTTGGCACAGTTCTCCAATTTAAAACAACATGTTGGATAACGATGAATCTCTAATCCAAGATGGAAATCTCTTCCCACAGAGCCTTTGATGGTCAACTTTTTTATATTTATGTGGTGCGAAGCATATTAAGTACATTTTCCTCTTCAATCTCATTTGTGAGTTATCAATTGAGAGCTCCATTCTAATGACAATACTTCTAAGCCTTCTTATACATTAATAAGGCCTCTCCGATGTCCTTAAATTGGCCACATCTCTAATCCTGAAATGCAAAGCTTTCCGTGAAGAAACTTCAATCTTTCAAATCTTCAAACTAGATCCAAAATTTTGCCCACAAAAAATTTGATAAAGTTTGCAGAATCTCAATTCTCTCATTCCCTGTGGCATATTTTAGATTTGACCTCCATATCAAGATGGCGTAGATTGATCGATGTCTCATTCTCTCTGGCAACTTCTTGAGACGAGGACAATCTTTTATAACAAACATTGCAGGTGAACAGAGAATTGTTGATTCAGGCAAAGTTTTGATCATACTGCCGGAAAGATTGAGGTACCCAAGTGTTTCATATCTCCAATTGAATTAGGAATCTCCACGTATAATATCTTTTAGGATAACACTTAATTTTTTCAGCTTAACAGCAAAACAGGGAGCACCAGATTTGTTTATATAATGATCATCACCATCATCATTTGACAGAATTGGTAGGAATGTTCTTACGTGCTTAAGTTCATGGAAAACCTCAAATTTGTTTTTACCATCAAAACAGTAGAAGTATAAGAAGAATGACGTACCCTTTCAAAGCTTTTCAGTTGCTTATTTGTCTTCGTTCCATCTTCCAACCTTAAACTTGTTTTCCGGAAACCCATTGAGCCATATCGCTCACAAGGTCATGCATTTTAAATTTAGAATTATCACTATCTGATTGTGGAAAAGGGATCTCGCAACTAGATCACGAAAAGAATCCCTCCTATGTCTTCCAATTGTTTGTATCTTTTGATTCTTGAACAAGACCTTCTGCCATCCACAAAAAGACAAGTTCTTCCTCTTAAATTCATAATCTTCCGGTAGAAACAGAGCAGTATGCAAAACATCTCTTTAATGTGAAGAAAGGTGGTGGTAGCTTAATTTCAACACCGGCAGTATCTCACTGTTATTTGGTAAACCAAATTTCGCTGTTCAATATATTCTCCCCATCATCTTCTCTCTTGTCAATTGTAGAAGGCTACCAAGAGTCCTTGCTGCCAAAGGCAAACCTCCACACTTGTGAACAACTTTCTCACGAAACGATTCCAACTTTGACATGCATTAATATTCTCCCCATAAATGCAAGCTTCACAAACACAGACCAGCATTCATGTCTGAAAAAGTTTCAAGCTATTATATTCACCAGGTGTCGTTCTTGCTGCAACTTTTCATCACGTGTAGAACAATGATCTTACTTCCAGATGCTCCGGCCATAAAGGGAGATTTTAAGGTTTCCAAAAATGATAATCACTGCTCCAGACATCATCAATACAAGCAAGAACTTTTATCCGCTATTTCCCTTTTTAGTGGAGCTGCACTTGATTCAAATCCTTCAAATTGCAGGGTGAGAGAGTGATAGATCCGATAATCGCTTTTGAGATTCTCAAAATATCAGGGTCATTGGAGACACAAACCCATGCTTTTGCGTCGAACTTAAAAATTCCATTGCCTGTCATTGTACACAAGTCGAGCAAGAGTTGTTTTGCCGGCTCTCCCATGCCAACAATGGGTATAACAAAAAAATTATTGTCATTGATTCACAAGTAGACAATCATTGGATTTTTTGCTTATCTTCATCTCTACCATAAACAGCGGTTCAGTTGGCAAACATGTGGTGGGTGAAGTGTTTGCCATTCAGAAGTGTGACCCCAGCAATCTTCTCCAATCCAAGATCAATTCTTTGTTACATAGATCGTCATCGGCGAGTGATTTCTTTCATCTTGGACCCCATGCTAACATTGAACTTAATAGCACTTGGGCTCCAAGTATGGAAGTAAGCAGGGATGAGGCTCCGAACCTTACTAGTGCTAGCCTGATCTTCAGCCACCAACTTGCGCCTAAAGCATCAGTTGAAAATTCCAATATATCCCCACATCATAGGCCAAATCTCGGAGATCGTCCAGCCACATTCACAGCCGTCTGTCAGTTGTTCTCTCTGCATCGTGGAGCAAGCTTCAATCATCTTCAACGTTTTTTCCACTTTTTTAGCTTTGAATCGACCCCCTCCCGACGTGCAAAATTCAGCAACTCCCTTGATGCCAGTGTCGAACAGCACCTGAAGGAACGCAGACAGAAAGGCGCTCCCACAGGCATGGTTTCGTCCTTGAAGAAGAAACAATAACTAAGGATTCACACAGAGATTACTATAGAACAAGCAAGAGATCGAGATTTTTTCTCTGATTCTATGGAAGGCAGTGTGATGGTTCGAAAGAGATAATAAAAAAAGGTCAAAACGTTGAAATTCTAGAGTATGCGTAGCTTCCACTCACAATAATAAAGTTGATACAGACCATTACTGACTAGTTTTGCTGGCATTTCTTTTATTATTATTTTATGATTTTTAATATTTTTAATTGCTTCCAGGATTGCTGAAATGAAGCCTTAAATGTATTGGTTTGGCGGTTAGTACATAGCCATGTTGGGCTTGGGTTTCCCTATGTGAGGGTGGCCCAATATTGAGAGAGAGCCCAATTAACTTATAATCCGACTTGAAAGAAGTTATATTTGGTGTATATGCCATCGCTGATTCCATTATTTATCTGTTAGTGTCACATGAAATGGAATCATCGTAAAATAAATCAAGGAAACTCTTTGAAAAGTAGTATGATTGAATTTCTATAAAGTTTTGTACAACATTAAAGCATGTTCAGAAGATGTTATCTTCATTATTTTGATGTTATCTTGTCAATGTATCATCCATTTAAAGT